TATTAACCCACATCGCCACACCAGGACTTCGAATATAACCTGAGATAAAATACATAGTTATTGGCATACGCTCTGTATAAACCAATTGCCCTCAAATTGACTCTCACTTATGGTGACCTGGCATATGTCAGAGTAGAACAGTGTTCCATTGTTGTTGTTAAGCGTCGTCGAGTCAGTTTCAACCCATAGCGACCCTGTATAGGGTTTCCGAGGAGCAACTGGTGAGCTTGAACCGCTGACCTTTCAGTTCAAACCATTTTTGCTGTCCAGCACATTAACCCACAGTGCCACAATGCCACAAAACGTTGTTCTTAGGTGCCTTCAAGTCAGTTCTGACTCATAGCGACCCTGAATAGGGCATTCGAGGGTGTAAATCTTTACGGGAACAAAAAGTCTCATCTTCCTTCCTTAGAGAGGCTGGTGGGTTTAAACTGCCAAGTCTGACACCAATCATTAAAAATGACAGCAGATCTCCCAGGTACCTGAGGCACTGCCTCAGAAATGGACTCAGTCACCAGCAGACCCTCAAACTGGATCCAGGGATCCAGGTGCCCCAGACTGTCTGGAGAAGCACTTAGCAAGCCCAAAGGAAAAGTGAAGAGCGTATCTAGGAAAAGACCTCAGAGACCTCAGCTAAACAAGTAATCACATTTTATCTCTGGTCATCAGCTTCCTGTCTGGAATGGGGATGCTGTGAGGATAGCAGAAGGAAAGGTCTTTGGGGATGGGCAGCGTCTTGCGCTGTTATCTTAAATTGTATGTAATTATTTCGGTTACTGGAGCATATAATTTTTAAGGAGGAAGGGCAGATAGAACCTTCTGCCGAGTCTCCCCACCCCCTGCGCCACCACAAGGGATCCTTGCATCCTCTATCTGCAGCTGTGGGATGCGTAGTTGGCGCAGTGCAGTGCGGCGCGCTTACCGAGGCCTGCAGTTCGTGCCCACGGGCACCGGGTCCTGCCCCTCTGGCGGGAACGACCGCCGATTGTCCTCCATCGTGTCCCAGAATTCTGCGTGACTGCCCGGGTTGGGAGGTGTGTGTTCCTGGCCTGCGGGTCTGGTCGCTAGGAGACAGCATAGCCACCCTTAGCTCTCTGGGCTCTGACCACTTGCGCAGCCCCAATCCGGAGCTTCCTGGACCTCGGAAGGGAGAAAGATCCATCCTTGGTTTCATTTTCTTTACATCTTTGTGAAATGTGTTAATCTTCCCATTGAAACTCACCGAAGACCAAACCACACCTTTTTTTGGTCACTACTAAAAAAAAAAAAAATTGCTGAAAAGAAAAAGCAGAGAGAGAAATAAAGGAATTGCAAGAGATAGAGAAAAAGGAATGGGACTGAATTCTAAAGTCTTTACTATGCATGGAGTTGTCTTCCTGTCGGTCCAGGAACTTCCTGGGCCTCTTTGTCTCTGCACATCAAAGGAAGGGGATTTGAATCCAGTCACCAGCCAATTTCAATCCAGAATCTCTTTTAGCTTTTGTGCTGTTTGATTCTTTTGCCTCGACCAGCAGTGAAAAGAGTGGTTATGAATCGGGCTGCTAACCTCAAGATCAGCAGTTCAAAACTACCAGCTGCTCCGCGGGAGAAAGATGAGCCTTTCTACTTTCGTCAAGATTTACAGCCTCGGAAACCCTGCACAGGGTCGCTATGAATCTGAACCGACACCACGGCACATAACCAC